TCGCAAACATACCTACAAAGGATCTTGTGGCGCAGCGACTCTGAGATAGACGTCAAGACCTATGAGTTGACAGTTACCTACGTTACGTCATCGGCATCATTCCTCGCGACAAGATGCCTCAAACATCTAGCGGTTCAACATTCGTCAGCATTTCCGATTGGGTCAACATGCGTGAGGCGCGATTTTTATGTTGACAATCTGCTTACGAGAGCGGACACGATCCAAGAAGCAAAATCAGCTCGAAACGAAACGATCGATTTGCTGAAATTGGGCGCATTTGAGCTCAGCAAGTGGGCTTCCAGTCCAGAACTGTTGGACTCAATATTCGACCGAGACAACGGATCCATTATCATCGATGACGAAAATGCTCACATCTTGGGAATCTATTGGAATCCTAGCACGGACATGTTGCATTTCTTGTACGAGCCCAACATGTCACATAATAGGCAAGCGCACGATTTTGTCGGACATTTCCAAGTTGTTCGACCCGCTAGGCCTGCTGGGCCCAACTATTGTCATCGCCAAGCTGATTCTACAAGATCTCTTGCGAGCAGATGTTGATTGGGACGAGTCAATTCTCCAGACTCTGCACATGCGCTGGCCCACATTCAAGTCGCAGCTGATGGACCTCAATCAACTGACAATCCCTGGACGCGTCAAATACTTCATTGATCGTCAATATATACAAGTGGCTTCTGCGACCAGTCAAAATGCATACGGAGCGTGTATATGTTCGGACGGAGCTCGATGTAGATAAGTATCGCTCGGAACTCCTTTGCTCCAAATCAAGAATCGCATTCCTGAAGGTGATGTTGCTGCCAAGGTTGGAACTATCAGCATTCTTGTTAGCACGACTGATAAACAAGGTTCAATTGGCAATAGATATGACTAACATTAAGGTGTATCTGTGGTCGGACTCGACAATTACGTTAAACTGGATAGCTTCGGAATCACGCAGATTTTCAGTTTTCGTTGCAAACCGCGTAAGCGAAATACAGCGATTGACGCAAGCAACGGATTGGAGGCATGTGCCGTCCAACCAGAATCCAGCCGACCTACTCTCACAAGGATTAAATCCGAGCGATCTGATTTACACAACAACATGGTGGACAGGCCCTGATTTTCTATGACGCGATGAGAACCATTGGTCAGTCAACGAGTTCTTGCGTCAGGAAGATGACGCTTCCGAGC